ATTTTATTTAAAAAGCTTGTGGAAAACTGATTTCACTTTGCCATTGTCACTTTTTCTTCTCTACAAGATGGCGGGATTAAATTTAAAATCCAATGTTTCGTTCCTCTGAAATCATCATTAATTTTTTTTTTTTAAATACGGACTTGCTTTTTTTGCTGTGTTATTGAAAAATTATAAACACACTGATAAAAAGGATTCCTTGGTTCAAAGGAAATTGAATTTCTCTCAAGGGCGCCAAGCATTTGAAATGGGCGAAATGCATGGACATTTTGTCTCAAAATTTGGGAAACTTCGAGCCAAACGTTTAGTTTCTTTTAGTCCAAAGTTATAGAAATTGAAGTCAAGAAACTATGACCTTATCGTAATTGTACATTTCTTTTGTCTCAAAACCATTATTTTCTCAACTTTTGAAAAACCTTAAGGAAAAGGCCACGACTTTTTAGACCAAAGCCATATTATTTTTGTTTAAATTCATCAAGAGATTGTTTCAAAATAATTTGATTTTAAATAAAAGACATGATATTTTTGACGTAAAATATAATGATTTGGTTATAAAACCAACAAGTTTTTCATCCAAAATATTACGTTTATGCTTGAATACTTGTTTCAAAACCCTGAGTTCCTAAGTGAAAGAATTATTCGTTCCTTAAAAGATCCGGAATGGTTTTGGGATAAAATGTACCCACCCATATAACTAGTCTTGTGCAGAATCCCCTAAGATCTTTTCAGAAAAGAGCTTAGCTTGAAAAATTGCGAAAGGAACAAAATTTAACTACCAAATAATTTTAATTAAAATCAATTTAAGAGTTAACATTTTTCCATTCGAATTCCTTAATACTACCATTATACTACCTACTTAGGTATATATATATATATATATATATATATATTTTTAAAAAATCTTTGGGGAATTCGCCACTACGACTGTATAAAGATTTTGTCTAAGACTATCTCGGATCTTTAAAAAACAAATACTAATTATTCTTTCACTTGAGAACTCTGCGTTTCGAAACAAGTATTCACCATAATCATAATATTAGTAATAATAATAATAGGTAACTGTAATTGAAATAGCCATATAATAATCTGTTTTTGCTTTTCTTGGGTGAAGACTTGCAGGAACCACAAAGAAACAAATATCGATATATGTACAAATTTATTTATTTCAGAAAATAACAAACATTGATGGAGTTGAACATAACATAATCAACGTACACCTACATATACATATAAATAAAAAATATACCTTTGTTGAATTTTTTTTTTCTTACATTATTTTCCTTGTTCTTCAAAAATTCAATTATCCTTTCCAATTATTTAATTCTGTCTTCAATATTTTTGGTTTATTCATCCATATGGTTAGTTTGTTCTAGAAAAACAATAAAAAGTAAGTCAGTATGGTTTGGCTTTTTAAAAACAGTATACTTTGAATTAGAAGAAAACACCGATTATCAAATGCTACATGCTTTGCGGCTAGATTAATAAATTTTTACGTTCAAGCCCTCGCAACGTTGAGACAAAAGCAAGGGTCTTGTCACAAAACCAAGAGTTTTGTCATACGAATGAAGGAGATTTATGGTAAAAAAGAAAGCAAGCCGACTTCATCACCACAAGAATGCCAAAATGGCCAATATAGCGACATGTTTTACTGGTAACATTATTGAACAAATATTTTAAAATATATTCGTCTGCACCTTAGTTTATGTCTGCACTGTCTGCAGTCTAATTTGATATATTTCAAAACGATAAATAGAATCCAAAACAACTTTCAACTGAAAAATCTACAATGTATTAATTAGGTACTTACCTCTTAATGTTTTTAGTAAATGGCTCAACCGCCACGTTTTAAGAAAAATTTCAAATTCACCGGAATCACTTTACTCATTCTAGATTATAGAATAAACGCACAAACCAGAACTAATAAACGAAATCTGATGTCGATGCATGATGCACGCGCGTTATGCGTATATGCCATCGGTCAATCGGGACTGGCGAGTGAGTATTCGGGTGGTCTGGAGCTGTTGAAAGGTGGGAATTGCTTATGTAGAGACTGTAGAGTACTCTACGCAACGCCCATAGACTTTGAATGAAAGACTAATGCTTTCCAGAAAAGCTCAACAATGCAGGGACTGGAAACAAAGTCAATGATGCTCTCTCAAAGGCGCTTGAATCTAAAAGAATTAGAAATTTATTGGAAAAGCATCTATAATTTTCAGTTGAGAGCAGAGAATTTGAACGAAAGAAATTTTCTTTGATAGAAGAGAAAAAAATCCAAAAGCATCATTCTTTTGTCTCGAATCGGGTATTTTTTTCAGTGCAGTATCGGTTTTAGGATGCGCAAAGATGACAAAATCGTAAATAAAAAATCTAAGTTCGTATTTAAAAAACGTAAGTTAAGGATGGCCGCCTAAAGACGAAACGTCGAATTTTAAATTTGGTACCACCATCTTCTAAAGGGGAAGAAGTGATAATGATAAAGTGACATTTATTTTAAAATTGCTTTTCAAATAAGCCCAGGAAAAAAAAATAGTAGATTATACCACGAGTCAATAATGATAGCTATTATTCCCGAGGATTATTACGAACTGAGCCGCGTTAGCGGCGAGGGAGTAACATTCCGAGGGAATAATAGCCATTATTGCGAGTAGTATACTCTACTTTATTTACGACAAATTAATTTATTTGAGATTTTCAATGAACAAATTTTATCTGTCTCATAATTTTCAATACAAATCCATAAGCACTACACGTTTGACACTGACACTTTTGTGGAATAATGACCATTAATCCCGCTACTCGTCATTAATCCCTGGAGGAATAACATATGTCATTATACTGTTAAAATCACAAATATAATACGCACATTATACATTAGTCGTAAATAAAAACGATTTTTCAAAATTTTGGTTTTTTCCGAATATCTCCGGAAGTATTCGGAATCTTTCTAGTTTCAAAACGGAATTCCATTGGTCATAAAATTGCGCAACATTGCCATAATTTAACCGACCCCGTATCTCCTACGGTTACCGAGATCCCAATGATGAGGCTCAAATTTGGGCAACTCTGTATATCTGGAAAACGAAGCATTTCCGGACACATGTTTATCAAAAAAAAAGTTTTATTTTTACGAGATCTACCATCCCTAGAAGTTTGTAACAAACCTTTCGTGACACCCTGTATAACATACGATTCATCAGGATGAAACCGCGATCTGTCCATGCGGCTGGGGCATGCCTCAACACAAGCACAAGCGCAAGTGATACTATCGTCATCTTCACCTGCAAATTCTTCGTGAAGTACCAAAATTCTAGCACTGATCTGCCTAATCCAAAGGCAAAAACAAGGAACCAACAAAATATTTCAGTACAAGTATCAACTACAATTTCAAAGTTCAACCAAACCCAAATAATTCTGTTAAAAAAAATATTTAAAAGTCCGCAACGATTTTCTGTCCTAAACGATCCCGTAGAAGCCGAAAACGCGTGAAAATGTCCCGCACAAAATACAAATTCACCGACAATTCTTCGAAGCCCCACGAAATTATCGGTAATATCTTACTTTTAGAACGGAATCACAACATTAAAGACTTTATAAACAATACAAACTGTGAACACTTTCTTTCCGTAGTTAATCAATAATAATTCCTAGTGAAACAATTGACTAAAATAAAACACAGCACCAAAACAACAATTACACATCCTAGATTAACAATAATATTCGGCGAATTGACGTGTTTCGCAGAAATAGAAAAAGAGAGCTTAATTGTAATAAATACAAGTAAGAAAGTAATGAAAAATGACATGCGCGCGCAACTCGTGGCTGCAGTGTAGCCAGATTGTATTGTTGCAGAACAAATGTAGACAATAAATCGAACATTATAACATTAAAAAAGTGATATATTTTCAAGTGCTCTACAACGCCTTAAATCAGACAAAAGAAGAACTTTAAAGTGTATGTTAACATCGATGGCACTTTTATTTTGATAAATGTTTCATCCGGCAACATCGCACAAGGAAATTGCAAAGGAATATGTCAAGTATAATCTAACATAACCTTAAACGACACTGCGATAAGTTCAAGTAATACGTGAAGCATTAGTTTGGTCTTTGTCGAATTACACGTTACAAAGAAAGAAGGAACGATTGAATCTGAACTCGTCCCTGAATACGAATATGACGCAAGCCCGTAACAAACTCGACATTGGACGCTCACCTGCAACCCACGAGTTGCGCGCGCACACCAGGTATTACGAGACACGTCAATTTTTGGGGTGTTCCGTTTGAGTGTCACTTGGTTCTAAGGGTTGATTTGGAATTTCGTTACAACTTCCAAATAGGGACTATAGGAGAAGGTATTTGGGATTATAATGCCGTGCAATCGATGCGAGCGCGCTTTAGAGGAAGGAAAATTCAGCTCAAGCTCACCACAAGGTATAGGGGAGCTATAAGGGAAATCTCCAAGATAGCTGACATTATCTTTGACTGTTGAAGCCTTGCAATCTTGTAATGATAAAGCGCATCGGAAATAGCCACAAAGGAAAACGGGAAACTTTGAAGAAAAGTTACAGCTTTGGTTACCCCATATGCAGGAAATTCGGAGCCTGTAGAACTAAAACAAAAAGGATAACACTGAATCAGCACAGCACAAGACTGACGAAAGTAAATCTCGTGAAGAATTCAGGAGTAGCTGATGGATCAGAAAATGAGTTATCACAACATAGATTAACAAAATAATTACATCCTATAACCTCGTGAAAAATTCACGAACAAATTCGTTAAACATGTTCCGATCGATTATAAAAAACGCCACGCGAATTTAATGTCGGAATTCGGTTAAATGATGCGCGAACTTAAAATTTTTACCGAAAACAAATTGGTTTTTCATGCCTGACCCATTGAGGCCGTCCATCGTCATGAATATTTATTTTTAATCGGGGCAAATATTGCGGCCGATGGGAATACGAACAAATTCCAAAAGGTCATGTATCAAACATGCATAAAAAAATATCAATTCATTTATTGTTTTAACTTGAATATTATTTAGCATAAAAATTATTATTGCCTATATTTAATAACTATACATCAGAACCTATCAAAAACTTCCAATACACGATCATTTATGAATTCTTTTACGTTATAAGCAAGAATATAATCGAGATGATTGAATTTTGGGACTGGTACCTGGTAATCTAGTACAATATTTGGAAGCTTTCCTCGTAGTTCTTCCACCATCTGAAATATCGAATATTAATGTGAAACATTTTTTAAAATATTATAGATAAATCCTCACCGTGGGATTAGAATAAGGATCTTCTATCGCATAAAATAGAGCTAGAGGTACTTTCATATTAGGAAACTTGTATAGTGGAGGTTTAGTGTCGTTATACATTTTCAGATTTTTCTTGGGTCCGTAGTCGAATTGCTTAAAGTCCCCTTGAAAAATATATATTTTTTTTATTTGAAATAACTTTTCATAACTAACTATATTTACCAGTTTTAATTACTTGTGCATAATGGAACATTTGTTTAACAGCAAATCCGGAAGGGGTGAATTGTAGCATAATTGGTAGTAGGGTCTAAAATATGAAATCTTTGAAATTAAAGGTCCAGTAGCATTTTACCGGTGTTTAGACAGCCAACTCGAATGTCACCTTATTAACCAGTCCAGATTCGGTACCAGCAATTACATAAAGGAAATCCATACATATGTCATGCATTGCTTTTGGACTACATAATGGTACAACAATCCTATTCAATAGTTCATTACCATTTGGCATTAACATTTCGTACCAATTGAGCATGGGCAGTAGCTTCTGAAAAATATATTCCATTAAAATCAAGGGGCTATAGCCCAGAAAATAAACAAGACTGGCTTTAAATTTAAATTTGTGAAGAAGTAGAAACAATCGTCGGCAGTTTACCTCCAAAATGTTTTTGTAAATTATTGTTGATGTAGCGAAGTGTTGTAAAAGTGCTACTTTTTGCTTTTTGGTAATAAGTGTGACTAACCTGTCCTAATTCCAAAAATCTGGTAGCCAAAATCAACAAGGGCGACTGCGTATGATGAAGACTCGCGGAAGGTGCCAACAATGCTGCAGCTTTAATTTTGTCGTTCATTTCTGGCACCTCTGATAACAGGACGAATAGTGTTGTGGTTCCTTGCGAGTGCCCTACGTAAAATATTCCATCAGCTCCTGTGACATTCAGGATGTAATTGATTGTGGCTGGGAGGTCATAGGTTCCAATTTCATGCCAACTAAACAAAATTTCAAACTCAAAAAAGTCCATACCTACTAGATTGTTTTAGTCGAGAAAACCTGTTTGAAAAATTAATATACCAAAAACAATAATTTATTGTTAAACTTTTTTTTCATTCAATTAATTTGTCGTTACTCATCAATGTTTCAATAGAATAATTAGTCCACTGATAGTTAATGACAAAATCCTAAAAATAACATACCTATTACCTATCAAATAATTTAACATAAATATTATATTATAGTAGTATATCGGGATTAATTAAGTATTTATCTGACACAATACAATGGGAAATAAATATAGGGATTAAGTAAAAAATAATTACAATTTTAGTGTTTTTCTATCAAATAATTGTTTTGGCAATGTAGTTTACAGTTACTGTTATAATTAATTTTGTTTTGTTGACATTAATTCATCTCGATTATAAATGTTCACCTACCTGAAATTCCAAAATTTCTTTCTTTCTGTATTTGGATTCAACGAACGATGTTTTCTAGAATTCATACTTCCTCTAGCATTGAAAAGCCAAACGTCATAGCCTTTGTCAGCTAAATAGAAGCCTAAAGCGTCTGGGGGCCCTGAAAAGAAATCAAAACTTATTTAAAAAATCATACAGATTTTATTTCCCACCTATAGTTATATAGTTTTCTCCACTACCACCCATGCCATGTACCATCAAAGCTACACGTTTGGGCTTTTCTTTGCTTAATCCATGGGGTATTCTGTGAGCTGTAAGAATATACCCGTCATCAGTTTCGTAATGATGCGTCTCAACGGGATAGTTGTATTCTTTAATGAATTTTTCCTAAAAAAAAACTGGAAATAAGAATAACACGATAGGTCTCTATTGTATAGGAAATTGTTGTTCTTTTAAAACAAAATATCACCTCCGCTATAAAATATTAGAGAAAAACGCAAAATTATAGACATTACAGATTTCATATGGCTCGTGGGAAAATAACGGTATATACTTAAGTGGTTTGCATAAATTTAAATTGCATACCTAACTAAAACGTAATTACATACTCATTTACATAGACTCAGTTGCATATTAATTATTACCAATTCAACTTAGATGCTTCAATCCCAACTTATTATTTATTTGAACGGAATTTATCGCAACTGGTCATTAAAAAAATTTCCATATTGCATTGAATAATTCCTGATTTATTGGAATGTAGGTAATCAATATTATGGAATTTTTAATCAAATAATTTTATAGAATAATTATTAGTGACTGATAATTAGACTTTTTGGAATCTTCTCGCTACTTGATTAACCATCAAATGTAAGATGAGGCAAAATCAGTACAGTATATAGTACTTTGCCGTTTTAGACCATTGGGTCGAAGATGGAGCAATTCTACCAAAAAAGTTTGTCTTTCTAGATATTAAATGTTAACGTCCTGTCAATTATAACTCCAAGATACTGTCACGGCTCTGGGTTGCGTGACATGAATCTTGGCTTCGTTTATTCCAAAATCAAATTCCAAATAACACAACAATAATTTATTCCACGTTACTATACACTCCGACACTAATTACTTCACTAATTAACTCAAACAACTAAAACTCTTTACAACTCTTAATCATATCACAGTCAAACTTGAACTTAAAAACTACAAACTAATACCGGCCTTTATATATCCCCAATCTATTCTTGCGAATTTCTGAATAACCGCGATTGACCTTGTTCCCGGACATCAACGTAAAATCTCGAATCAGCTGTCCAATTCTGTACAGTTTGGTGGGATTCTCGACATCCTGGCGGATGCGTTATCCTGGAAGATGCGTTACCTTTACAATCTTTTATCTTATCATAACAACTTTAATATCAGCATTCCCGATCACGATTTTATATTGTAACAAATGAACAAATAACAATAATATGGGATTGGCTGTCAGTCTTCATCTATTATGTCTTAAACAGGACCAAAACCAAAACCAATATAACACGTTCTCTTCATGACGCAGTGATGGGAGGTCTTCGACCCTATACGACCCGCCCAAAATCTTCAATCTACATTTAACAATGTATAGGTACCTAGGTGATGCCCTATACCTATTGTTACGAAATTACATTGGTGCGGAGAATTCGACGCCACCAATCTAGATATTTCTCAATTTTTTTTTGTATTTAAAGCGCGTCAGTGGATCAGTTCCAATTAACGGAACTTGTTTTAAGCATGAATTCTTGCAATTGCACCAAAGATATTTGAAGGGTTGCACCTAATTATATTGGTGGAGAACCCACAGATCTTACCGATGGTACGTTTCTCACTGTTTCTAGGCGTCATATGCTTTCTGTATTCTCTTGAGTTACAAGTCAGTTTGCAATCGAGTGTCACTTCTAGATGTTCGACCTCGCCAGCAAATTTTGGTATTCAAGAGTCTGGGTGCTGGCAGAAGTACTAGTTTCCTCTTTCTTGTGAATAGGACCATTTCAGTCTTTTTCGGATTTATAGATATATCTTAACCGTCAAAAGTTATTTTGTAAAGTGAGTTCTCGTTGACCTGGAATCCGAACCAATATTTCCAGATGTTATAGACAAGCTCATACAGGTTTGCCTAAGAGCCACTTCCTGTGGGATGGTGACTTTTCCGAATAAACCGACGACGTGGCAATGGAAAGCCCACTTCTATGTGAAGAAATTCGAGAAAAAAGCAATCAGATTCTTTGCCCCAAGCCAAGCCAAGGTCATTCTCCGGGAGATCAAACTTTGCTATTGATATTGTTCACTAATCACGGTAATTGTTACAGTGACCCGTCTATGAGTGACTCGACAACTCTCTTCAAACAATGGCGACAATAGTGGTTTCGCCGCCATATTCTTGAAAATTTCAAACATTATTATTGTCACGGCTCTGGGGTGCGTGACAAATATTTCGGGTTCGTTTATTCCAAAATCAAAGTCCAATTAACACAACAATAACTTATTCCACGTTACCACACACTCTGCCCCTAATTACTTCACTAATTAACTTAAACAACTTAACTCTTTACAACTCTTATAAAATTCACTATCTAAATCGTATCACAGTCAATCTCAAACTTAAAAACTAATAACTAATACCGGCCTTTATATATCCGTAATCTATTCTTGCAAAATCCAGAATCAACGCGATAGACCTTTTTCCCGGAAAGCACTGTAAAAATCTAGAATTCTGCTATCCGATTCTATGTCTCTATCGTATCACAGTCAATCTTAAACTTAAAAACTACTAACTAATACCGGCCTTTATATATCCGTAATCTATTCTTGCAAAATCCAGAATAATCGCGATAGACCTCTTTCCCGAAAAGAACTGTGAAAATCTAGAATTCTGCTATTCGATTCTATATCTTTTGGCAAAGGCGCACGTAAATTCCGTTACACTGTCCTCCTCTTAAGATTGATCATCCCGATCAACTTCACGACCATGATATTTCGTCAATCTGTCTAGATATACACTTTTCATCTTACTCCTGGTTGTTTTTGCTGCACTGGATCGGCAACACCGCTTTCCCGTTTTTTCAACTATATAAAGCGATCGCTGAATTTCAGACTTTGCGTTAAAGGAATAAATGCGTTATTGGACTGTATTCAGGAAAATGAAGGACGGAATTTTGAATTCAACCTCAACGTGATTTAATGAGCACTATTACTTTCGAGGGGTTCAAAACAAGAGTACCAGACACAGGCTGGTTATTGAGTACAATAATTTTTAGGTATCTAAGCGCACAGGCTTCATAAGAAACGAAAAAGGCGTTAAAAAACAAACACGACACGCACCTCCTCGCTCTGTGGCTCATTGCGTACTGCTTGATGCTATTTTTAGAATCGCTGAATCCCTTGCAAGGTCAAATTAAGGGCTGGTTTCCAATAGTGAAAAATTAAATAAAATGCATTGGATTGATTTTTGCTGTCGTGGTTGCTTTTTTACACCTTAAAAAATGTGAAATGAAATTTCATATTTTACAAGTCTAAACACTGGTGAGCTCGATAAACCAAATCATTGATCCTCTTGATTATTATGTAGGGTCCTTCCCATGCTGAAGACAATTTCGACGACTCTCCTTTCTTTCTTGCTGGTTTATACAGCCACACTAAATCACCTTCTTGACATCCGGCTATCCGGTTGAACTGGCTTTTAAGTTGCATCTGGTTCGGTTACTGGCCAGCTGAATATGCTCCCGAGCTAAATCGTGTATTCCTAGAAGTCGTGCCCTTACTTCGTCGCCATAATCTCGAATTTCTTTTCGTTCTTCTTCGGGTATTCCAAACATCAGATCGCAAGGTAACCTGAGTTCCCTTCCAAAAACGATTTTAGCTGAATTTTCATCTGTTGACTCGTGAACAGCTGCTCTGTCAGGTGGCAACCACCAGACGAACCACAGCTGATAGTGAATGGCCAGAAATCAATTTCCAAAAAAGAAAAACTCCTAGAAAGGAACACAGTCCTCGCATGGACCAAGAGGAAGTATCACAAAATGATATGGAGACCGAGGATGTCATCAGCTATGCAGACAAGATTTAACAAATCCCGCCAGCCCAGTGGTTATCCACGGAAGCCAAAATTGGATTCTCCCCAGGCAGGAACTAAAAAATAACAATATAGCTTTTGGAAAAGTCAAGAAAATGGGTGAAGATACTAAGATCTTTGTAAGTACCCTAGAGGATGACCGTAGAATTACGGCCTTTTTGCACGAGCAAAACAGACCGTATTATACCTACAAATTAGAGGAAGATAAAAAGGTCGATGTAGGAGACTCGATGAAGACCCCGATTCAAATTATAAGAGAGGAGCTAGAGTTGAAAGGTTGTGAACAACTAGAAATAACACGTATAACATCTAGGAGAACAAAGAATGTAGGTGGTAGACGCTTTTTACTCATTGGGCGTCGACCGGTGAGATACCACCATGCCAGAATTGAGTAGCGCTAAGTGGTATCACCACGTTCCGCTACTGCGCTGGCAGTCCGGTTCCAACAATGAGTAACAGATAGCATGATGGCGCCTCCAGGATCAAAATATTCCGGAGGTAAAATACCCGACCACTCGGATCTCCGGGCGTCGGGTGATCCTGGGGGTCCTTCATGCAAAGATATAAAGAGAAGATCAAAAACTCAACTCAGAATTGATTTTAGCAATATAAGAGGAATAAGTACAAATATGAATTCAGTTCACCAACATCTTGAAGAACAAAGACCTGACATCCTTGTTCTCACTGAAACTAAAATCAGTTCTGCAACACCTATTGTGAACTATCTTTATCCCGGCTATGACCTACACCACCGATTTCGACATAATTTTGGGATCTGTGTGTACATTAAAAATGAACTTTCATGTCATCGAGAGGAGAAGCTAGAACCAGCGAACCTCGATATCATATGGCTAAAATTCACCTCAAAGTCATCGACCAAGTTTATCTGCTGCCTCTACCGACCGCCAAGTAACACCGATTACCAAAACTTTTTCGCGACATTATCCGAAAGCTGTGATAATATACAGTCAAACTATCCACAGGCGGAAATTGTCTTTTTAGGCGATTTCAACGTCCACAATATACCCTGGCTAAAACACCACAACAAAACAGATAACGAAGGCAGAGAAGCAGAAGCTTTTGCCATAAGTTGTGGTCTAACGCAGCTTGTCGATGAACCTACCCGTATCTCAGAAAGGGGCGAATTTGCAGCGCTTTTAGACTTGTTCCTAACCACCAATCCTGACTCGTACACAATTCAAGTAGATGCTCCACTTGGTTCGTCCGATCATAAACTTATAATAACAAAGTGCGAAATGCTCATCCCACCAAGCCTACAACC